TTAGAAAAAAAATCCCCTCTGTGGGAAAGGTATGGATATTTTCTGCAACTACACAATGAGCAATTTCAGGATAAGGTTTTGTTTTGGAATATCTAGAATAATGAAAACAGAAACAGTTGAACTGAAACAGTTGAAGCTACAGTACATATAATAAATGTAATTATTTTGAATGCCACAAAAAAAAAACAAAAAANCCTTGGGGATGGACAGTTTTCTAAGATCAGAAAATTTAAAAATATATATGAAGCTGTGTAATTGGAATATCCAGACAGATTTGGGGAGGGTCTTGGAAAAAATTCCTTCCGTGGGGAAGGTATGGATATTTTCTGTCGCTACACAATGAGCAATGTCAGGATAAGGTTTTGTTTTGGAATATCTAGAATAATGAAAGCTGAGGTTAAAAATATTAAAACTGAAACAGTTGAAGCTACAGTATATATAGTAAATGTCATTATTTTGAATGCCACAAAAAAACGAAAAACAAAAAAAAAAACAAATTAATGCACTATTCAGATTAATTTCCGAGAAATGCATGCTCTGAGAGCTCTCTGTGGAATCATTTTAATGGTTAAAATTGGAGATAAAATGTACACATCACGGCAAAAGAAACCACATTTACTAATGCCCAATTTTTTTATCTCCTCAAAACTACAGGTTGCACTGTGGACATAGACTGGAATTCTGTGTTTTATTCTAATGTGGCAACTAACGAGCATTTAGCAAAGCTGTACCAACAGAATGCAGAGGAACTTGGCTTGACTTTCCCATCACGAGAGGAACAGGCCAAAGCAGCTGTTGGGTCCACAGACATGGGCAATGTGTCACATGTAAAACCATCCATTCATCCTTTCTTTGACATTGAAACATCTGCTGCTAATCATACTCATGAATTCACTTTGGCATCAGCGACAAAGGAAGCCCACTCAAGGGCAGTTATTCAAGCTAAAGTTTTGGCCATGATGGCTTTAGATGTCTTGTACAATGATCAAGTTTGGGAATCAGTTGTGACAGACTTTGAGAAAGATCATGGAAGGATGAAACCTCGGGTGACATGATCTATGTTCAGAGATAGGTTAATCATTTAATGAGCAGGCCAAAAACTCTTGTGTACTGATGGGTCACAGTTAAATCGTCTAAAGTAGCTGCAAATAAACAAACTCTATCTTTTAACCTCTCTTAAGTTGATAGTTCTCCTAGGTCGAAACTTTTTCTTAACCCAATGGTGTTCAGTTACAGTAAGTCTAACCATACTGCATCCTGTTACACGCTCCCAGATAGTGTGTAAAACGCCAAAATATGGGTGAGTGGAAGGATTATTGGGGGCAGATTGGCTAGGAATGGTGGAACAATAACAAAAACTGGATTCTGAGTACTTAAAAATTCAGTCATGAACCACTCTAGCTTTATGGGTGGTCAACTCAGTTGCTTGACGCCGATCTTAGAATGTGTGATGGGAGATAACAATGAAAATCATCTAATTATCATTTCAGGCTTTTTTTCTTTGAAAACAAATTATGTAAATGTAAGCCTACAATATACAATAGCAATGTTGTCAACTTTTCTTGGGGTACAGGTGGTGTGCTATTAAGTGTAAATTTTGTGCCAAATTCTTGTCATACTTGAAATAAAATTGTGCATAGCATTGATATTTAGCATTGGTATTGGTGCATGGCATTGGTATTTACACTGTAGCTACTGTATATTTATAATTTTTACTCAGGACCAGCCTGAAAACCACCTGAGGGTGAGGTTGACTCCTGGCTCAAGATATTTTTATTATTACATTATTCATGGATAAGATTTTGCACTCAACAGAGGTGTAAACAACAGTAGTGCCCTATGTATTATCTAAACCCTAATGTTGACTTATTTATCACCCTGGGCTGTGGTTCTCTTGTCTTCATGGTTTCCACAATGCAGAGAAATGCAATCTTCTAGAAGCTTTTCAGTGAGTCTGGATAAACGAGCTCAAATTCAAATGAAACCATTCTTACCACGTATATGTAGCACTGCACAGGTCCGAGTGGTTCTGACTGTTAAATCAGTCAATCAATAAGTTACCCTCGACTCCCGATAACTCGAATCCCTGCTAACTCGTACATTGTCTTAACTCGAACCACGAAATCGATTTTCCCAGAATTACCGTCATACGAACCTTCCGTTTACTGGAGCCAATTTTCGTTTCCCGTCAAGTCATTTTATATATGGTTTTAACCTCTTTAACTCGAACCATGTTTGTCCGTACGTGAGAACTCAAAACAATCAGTTCTGTAGTCCAAAACACTGGATTCATTGGAGCTATTTCTCAAGAAATTTCCCTTGAAAGTTCGAGTTCTCGGGAGTTGACAGTATTTAAATGGAGCTTTACTAGCTTATACCTGTAGCGGCTACGAGTGGCTAATGACAGGAATAAGTCACAGACCTTTCTCTGCGTTGAAATTTCTTTTCTTAAAATCTTCACTGGGAAATTCGTTCCCATTCCTGACTGGAATTTACAGAAGCATTGCAGTTTTTATTTTCACTTAAGGAAAGTAACTACTAAACTGGTCTATTATTTTGGAATGATAACACGGAAATACAGTCTTTCTGCGTTCTCGTTGGTCTGGTTATATTAGATAGGTTGATAAACCTTATCTACCTGTGTAAACTGGTGGTAACCGAAGGGAGTCATGGCTGAACACTGACTACACAGAGTATCCAATACGAGACAAACCAGGTCTTGTCCAGTGACACTGACAGTTTTATGAAGTACTGGAACAGAATATGATATCGGATGAAAAGACTATGGTTACTTCAAATCATTGCATTGTATTGGCCTGCACAGGGAGCAGTTGCCCAAATTGAAGAGCGGATGACGCCAAGCGCCAGATGTAAGTGTTGCCACTGGATAGTGATTTGTCTGAAGCCAGTTGAATGTACCACGTGACACACAAACGCCAAATCAAAATCAAACACCAGTGATGCATGAAAAGTCTTCATTGCTTTATTGTACTGGGAATTACAGTCGAACCTTTACTAAAGGCCACCTCTCTATAACGGCCACCTATGTATAACGGCCACTGTTTTTTCGTCCCGGCGGACGGTCCTTACATTCACTCTTATTTTACTCTCTCTACAACGGCCACCTCTCCGCAACGACAACAGCCACTAAAACGCCTGCCAACTGCCAATATAACCTCTCAACAACTGCCAGTTAATCAACGACTGACAAACGGTGTATACAAAACCCAACTATTTATTGTAAAAGATCATGAAACTTGAGCCAGTTACCACCTGTCGCTTGTCTCTGTTTCTGTTTAATTGATAAATTTCGATTGTGTTACATACTTATATGCTACAATAAAGATTTTTTTTGAAAGCAATAGTGTTGCAACCCCGAATTATGACAGTTGTCATATTAAACCGACCGCCGACCGGTTAGCTCCGTGGTAGAGCACCGGACTACCGTGCGGGAGATCGCGGCTTCAAACCCCGGCCGGGCCAACACTCAGGGTCTTTAAATAATTGAGGAGAAAGTGCTGCCTTTGTAATGACATCTGCAAATGATTAGACTTTCTGGTCTTCTCCGATAAGGACGATAAACCGTAGGCCCTGTCTCACATCTCTACATAATTAATTCTGTGGG